AGAGAGGGGGGGGGGGGGCGGGGGGGGGGGGGGGGGGGGTGGTGTGGTGGTGGTGGTGCAGGTGTGTCTCTGAAACAGAAAGGTCCACTTTTGCCACTAAAAGTAATTTGAATTAGCTGTCAGTGTTTGGGCTTTGTTTTGTTCTCTAATGTCAGATAGAAAACATGGGTAGTACTGGACAGCATGTGTGAGAGGAATGGAGATACTAAGGCATTGGCAGAGGAAGTGGTGGTGGAAGAAAGCAGACATTGCTTATCAGTAGGAATGTCTGGGGAAATCCAGGTAGAATGTGGAATAGGGAAGTGCTGGCAGAAAGGTGATAAGGCTATGTCCCCAAGTAACAAATCAGCCTGAATGGGACCTAATCAGTTAGGATGTCAAGAAAGACCTCCTTCACTTACTGTTTTTTCTTGTCCTGCAATGATGTGTTCCAGACGGATTTCTGGACTGTAACCCTTCATCATCACCTCCCTCACTCCTTCCTCCCTGTTGCACTCCCTCCCGTTAGGGTCTGGGTTTGTGGGTGAGGGAGTGACTGTATATGTTTGAACAGGATGAATGCAAGTGATCTGCATGACCATGAAGAGCCACAGAGGAGACGGCTGCAGCTGTAAAGATGGGAGATAACAAATGTATGAAGAAGTTCTTTAGTGTAAAGAAATAGTGGAAAGATTTAAATAGAAATGTATCACAGAAGATAGAGAGGAAAACTGTCCCTCATTCATTCATTGCTGAGTTGTTCTTTAACACTGTCTTTCTGTAGTTTCATAGTTGTCTTCTAGATGTTTCCATTGTGCAATTGATAGGTTGTGCAGAAAATGAAGAGGCTAAATGAATCTTTGGTAATTCTTCCTGCAGAAAGCATTGCTTTGAGCAGAGAAATAATTGTAGTAATTACACTTCAGCTCTCAGAATTATAGCATTGAAATGGAAAAGGCTAATCATCTGTACCTTTCTTCTGCTCTGTGGAACACCTGGGATATTTAATTAAAAATAATGTAACTGGTGTAGTTTCCATCTTTACCCATCGGAAAACAAATTAATACTTACCTGTTTGATTTAAAATTAGTACAGATTAGAATTCTTGTACTCTTATCTGCGGTGAAAAGCCTAGACTTGTCTCAGGATTTCTTAAGAGATTGTCCTACTAATTGTATGTTCTCCATAGGTGCGGTGGGCAGATCTAGAAGAAAAAAAAGATGCAGACAGGAAAAGGGCCATTGGTTTTGTTGTTGGACAAACAGATTGGGAGAAGATAACAGATGAAAGTGGTCATCTTGCTGAGAGAGCCCTCAACCGCACCAAGTATATATGAAAAAGTGGTTAAATGGGATTTCATGCCTTTAAGGTAAGTATTCAGTATTCTTGCATGTTTCTAGCCTTGATGGTTTTTAGGATTTTTAAGAGTTGAGGTTGCAGTTCATGTCATTGTTAGAGTTCTCCCAGACAAGATTATTTGATTGGAGTCTTGTATAATAGGTATCAGCTGTGCCCATGTTAATACGCAGCCTCCTGGGCAGCATCTAAAAATAAAAGGAGAAGGATTGTCAGCTATCAATCTCCAAACTTTATTAACAGAAAGATTATGTTTTCATTAAAAGAGTAGTTTAACTGTGTGCCCAGTCCCATCTAGTTCAGATTTTGCATACTATATCTTAACTCTGACCATGTTAATTGCTGTTTTACTTGGTGTAACAAACTTTTCCTTTCTTTACAGGCCATTTGCTCTGAGGAGAAGTGAACCAAGGTGTCATAAGCATCTTGCATGGGTCATGTCACTCCCACCTTCACAGTTTTTCTTTGTTACTTTAGTTTCAGCAATTTTCTTGAGATATTGGCAGATAACCAGTGCCCTCAAAAAACCCAGTGAATCCCGCTGCTCCTAAGTGAGAAAGACAGTTTACTTTTTAATATTTTTGGAGGGGAGGGAGGGGGAGGGCCAGTAGTTTTAGCTGCTGTTTGTGGGATAAAGTGGAAGGATTAGACAGACGTTACCTCCACTGTACTGTCACAGAATGTTTATCACCTTTTGCTTTGTGGCTGTTCTCGTTTTATACTGTATGTACCTTGTAGCTTATTGTATTAGGAAGCAGAACAATAAATTTCACTATAAACTCAGTGTTCCTGGTGGACCATATAGCATGGTTTTTGTTTGACATTTTAAATGTGGTCTGTGTTCACATGTTGACAGTGCTCGGAACTGTCCTTACCTGGAAGAGGTGCTGTGCTCATATTCTGGAATGTGTCCTGTCTTCTAGGTTTACCACCTGCTCTTCTTCTCATAGACAGCTCCAGTAAGGCCCCAGGTTTTGCTGGCCTTTAGGAGTCATACCATTCTCATTCTTCCTGGAGACCAGGAATGAACATTATTTTTTTGGATCCTAGTTTCTCAGTTATGTCAAATTTCCATTACTACATGAGTATAAATTCTGTTGGATGGCTCTGAAATACTCAAGGTAGTAATGTATGAAAAACATTTATTTAATGCTCAACTTGAAAACAGGTGCTACGGAGTTCTCTGGAGGGCAGCCTAGAAAATTCATTTTGGTCTTACTATGTCTTTTAGTCAACATTGATCCCTATCAGGGTATTTTCATTCCATTCATAGGACTACTGTCTCATAGAGAAACATCATTAAAAGAAGCAACAAAGACCGGAAGTTACACCTTTCTTTTCCTTTAATAAATGTGTTTAGCTTGCTAAAAACCATAAATGAATAGCAGTCCACACTATTAAAAGTGGTACAAACTCTTCATAGGTGCTGGTATATTGCTTCCTCACAGCATCAGGTTTGCTGATGAAAACTTTCTTTTGTCCTCTCAGGTTTTGAAGCAAATGCCTTGTGTTAACAATGTTGTAACCAGGCAAGGTGTTTAAATCTGAAAATAATTGCTGTTTTACTGGTGAAATTAATTTTTTTCTCCTGATCTTTCTGAGGGAAGAAAATGAAGTCCTGAATTTCCTTCTCTGCTATTCTTTGTTGCTCTGCTGAGTGATTACATTGCAGTTCGCGTCTAAGTTGGTAAATCAACTAGTTCTGGTGTGGTGGTAGTTCATGCTGTTCAAGGAGAGCCATGGTGCTAATAGATGGTTTTGTTTGCCATTCTGATGTTTTGGTTTATTGGATGCTTCTCAGCCTTGTCTGTGGTGCATGATTGAAATCTCTTTGGTAAACAGGGGGAATAGCTGAACTTGTGTTATGCCCTGAATGTGTTTAATACAAGAAAATCAAGCTCCCTGAATGCCGTGGTTTTTAAATGGAAGGTAATAAATATGCATTTTCTGTGTACACATACTGTTATGTAGCATATATACTTTTTTTTTAACGTTGCCAAGTACTGTTTGAATTCTGACTGAGAATTGTTGACAAAGGGAAACTAATAGTTAACAAGAAATCAGTATTGTGTATTGCTGTGGAAATCAGGCAAGCTTCGCTTCGGAGAAGTTACTCTCTCAGGTACGTGTAAAATGGGTTTCAGTCTATCCTCTGTGGTCCATAACGAAACTGGAGTTCTTGTGGCACGCTCTTGTTGAGTTGATGCTGTTTCTTGACTTTTAAGAACTGATAATGGTTTTGTCTGTATTTTTGGTAATACACCTGAACTAGATCCTTTTCTAACATTTTCCTTTCCAGGCTAAATAATTCTGGAGCATGCAAATGGATAGCGTGTGACAGAACTGATCATATTGTTTACTGTTTTTAACAATTTTGAAAATTATTTTAGCAGATAACACCCAGAGGGGTCACAGTGTTTATTCTGTAGTGCATGTACAATTAGAGATGAGCAGAGAATACACATAAAGTTATCTTTTACTCTGATGAGAACAGAGAGAAAATTATCAGTGTTCAAGTTTAGGGCAAAATTTCGGTTATGAAAACATACTATTGCAAACTGTTTGTCAGACTGTTTGATCAGAACAGGCTGAAGGGCTTGGATTTTTTTTTGTTGTTGTTTTCCTGGTTCCCTGAAGTTCAGAACTTTTCCATTTCTGTAGTACAGAAATATCATTCCATAATCTTTGCCGTTTGTTTCAGTTGTTTTAAATGTTTAGCAGGTCAGTCTTCATCTGCTTGATGGGAAGTCGTTCTCAAAGGAAATAACTTATGCCAGAGCTACAACCTGTAACAGATTCTACATACTCTAGTCCTTCAGTGAATGAAGAAATCAAGCAAAAAGGAAAAATTCATCATTGCTCTTGACAGAACTGAGAATAGCTAGGTAGTCCTATGCTTGGCTCGTAGTGAGAGGCTGCAGTAATCTGGAAAATCCTTCACTACAGACTGCAGTAAGTTTTGATCCTGATGGAGTTCTTACTTATCATCTGCTCACTGATATTCACAGTAGAATCTTTCACAGCGCTGAACAGAAAGAATACCCACTTTCCTTGATGGCTAAATAGGAAAATATGCATCCAGTGCTCTCGGCTAACGATCCATCTTTGACCATGCAGGCAATTGTGCTGACTCTAAGTTGGACTGTTTCTGTGCAATGCATCACATTTCAAAATAGGACTATGAAAAAAAACTGCTGCTGCTGCAGGATGGAGCTGCTACCTCTTGAGCTAAGTTGACTGTTAAAACAGTATTTTCTGTGAATTACAATTTCTTATAGCACTTCAGTTTTTCTCAAGACCGTCTGGGTTTTTAAGAATATTGAAACTACCTGTCTCATGGTAGAAGTACATGTGCTTTTTGCAAGGGAATGTGCAACCTAAGACATGCTGCCTGCTATCTGAATAGAGCTTACTTGTCATCTTCAGTCACCTTGTGTTTTAATGTAGGATTGCTCATTAAGCATGATGGTCTGACTATGGTGTGAAGGAATGAAAATATAGCATAGAATATTATATCAGTTCTGGAAATGTCATGGTTTTCTTTTTCTTAAATGTTTACATCAACATAGACAAACAACTTACCTTGCATTATTAGTTCTCAGCCTTTAGAAGGCAAGAATTGTCATTGATACAAGTTAGAGTTTCACTTTTCACGCATCAGGTTGGGTTTGATATTTTTTGGACTGTTTCACTCATCTTTGCGAACCCTGTCCATTAATTGTTCCTTGTCTGTCTGTTGGTAAACAAAATACATCACTGTTATTATCTGTTTGTAAGGCATTGTTTTAACTATTTTCTGAAACCTTTTAATCTCTGAACAACTATTTAGGTACCATGGAGATACTAAGTAGGATTTCAGTAGTGATTTTTATGAAAGGATTGAATTGGAAAAGTACAGTTGTAATATTACACTGAAACAAATATATTAACTTATCCCCAAAAAGCCTGCATCTAATCCAGTTGAAGAGTTGAAAATTGTGAAGAATCATGATTTGCCAGTCACATTATGCTTCCTGCAGAAGTCGTCTGTTGATAGTGTGCTTTTCAGTGAGAACAACATGACCTCACCAGCCAAAATCAGGTTTTCCCAATTTGAGATTTCAACATCATTGGAACACTGAGAATCCTTTTCAAAGGAATGAAGTAATTCAGCCTGTGGGACAGTTGGTTGCCATCTAAACAAATGTGTTGTTACCAGAAGAAGAAATATTCTTTGTCCATTTATTTAATGCAGCTGTCACAGTGAATCATTTTGTGCCTTTCAGACACAATTTCCCTTAGCAGATTATGTCATTTTATTATTAATATTGCTGCCGTGAAATTTTGGAAACCCACACAATGTTGGACAGACCTTGGGACTTGAAGAAAATATGGTTGATCTGGTTTGGAGGCAAATTGTGCTTTTTGCTATGAAGTTCCTACTATCTCTGCCAGCATGCAGCTAGTTAACTGTGAGTTAACTGAACTGAAACCCAGGAACTCTCTTGCAATACTGTAACTCAGCATACATGGACTGGAAAGGGGAATCTGGAAAGGGAGAATTTTCTTTGTCTGTGGAACATTCACATGGTCTGCATCGTTAGGAAGCCAAATATCGATGGGTACATGGTTCTTTTTTATTATGCCTCTCTTAATTATTTAATGTTTCCCAGATTACTTCTGGGAAATGAGGTCTCAATACTGAACTTGAGGTCGACTTACAATTTGCGATCAAACTGTGCCAGGATAACCTGCATACTATGAGATAATTGTCTTTGAGGAGCACAGATGATCATCCCAGTTGAGATTTACACATTTGCAGCATGAACTGTAAGTGAGTAAAAAGAAATTCAAGTTTTTACAACGTGGTGGTGTAAGGCTGATTATACTTAGTTTTCTTATCATAGTAGAAGTGAGAAGAGAAAGAACAGAAATTTCCTAGTATTTAAAATATGAATGGCACAATTCTCATCTTATTTTGAGTCTCTAGGGCAATCATCTTTATTCTCTCATAAAGCTTGAATCAAAGTTGTTTTCTGCTGCTCATCCATTCCTACAGGTGCGAGTCAGAATCCTTCAACCAACTAAAGGAACACCAAATAACTTATGGTTTCTGCTCAAGTTTAATCACGTTCTTCTTCATGGTGAAACCTTTTTGTTTCATTCTTACCAGTGGAGTGTTCCAGCAATTGCAATGTCTCTTTCTACCACTTCCAAATTTGCATGATACTGGATCTGCAGCCTGGAGCCTTAAATCTTCCTCATGGATACAGGTTGGAAAGTTGGTAATCACAATATTTCATTCAGGTAGATTATCACTTTCTAGCTGATTAATACTGTTTGGAAGCAGAATGTGCTCTTTTATTCATGGTTTTGCTTAAACCAGGTAAGCGCAAGTACTGTTACCAAACAAAAAGTACAGCAAGTTACTGGAAATGAAGAGACAAAAGTGTTTTGAAGTTGCTTATGTTTTCCATTCTGTGTTAGGTTGCTAGTCAGGAGGCTTTCGTCTCTTTGAATTGTAGGATTTAAGATTTAAATATGCAAAACCTTAAAGCTGCCTGTGTGGAAATGGCACAGTTTCATTTTTTTCTACTATTTTTCTGACTTGTGGAACTCTCAGATGGAATCTCTTTGGCAGGGGAGGGCTTTCTGTAGGGCTTCTGCTCTAGAGTGTCAGTCATTCAAATATTTCCCCATACTGCTTCCTTTGTATGTGTGTACAGGGACAAAGTTTGTTTCCTTAACTGTTCAAGATACACATATATGAATGGATGTTTGGCTTTACACAAGAAATTTCTGA